CGGGAGGGGGTGAAGGTGAATGTTCACATCCGCACTTTCAAGGGACTTCGGGGCGTCTGCACAGGCTTCCTCGTTGCATTTGACAAGTTCTGGAATATGGTAATTAAACCCTCCTTAGGGGGCTGGAGAACCTCTTGGGGATTCAATCTTTTATAAATCTAAAGATTTATAAAAGTAACCTTATTCAGTGAAACCTATAGAATAACTTCCCAGAAGAACTAGAATCTACACTTTCTTGAGAAATAACAAAAAAAGTTTCTTTTATTGCTTCTTTTTCCTGAAGCCTGTGGCTTTCAGGAGGGGTGATTTTGCCTTTCTTTCCCTCCGGGGACATTTTTTTTATTATCACAACTGTGGGCTAGGGTGTTACGGGCATCTAGTGGGTAGAGGCCACGGATTCTGCTGCATGTCCTCCATTACATAGACACCCCCCAACAACAGCAAATTATGCAGTGCAGAATGTTTTTAGCCAAGATTGAGACACCCAGCCTTAAGCAATAATTACTTATTTCATCTGTTTAGTAATTTCATATTGATTTCCTATTAAAAATATTTATGTTCCACTTTGGCTGGGCACAGTGCTAAGTACAGAAGTTTCAGAAAGAAACTTTCACGCTACTTTTTTTTGAAGATAGACATGGATAGAAGGGGAACAGACATATTAATAAGCAAGATAATTTACATGGTATTTCCTTATGAAGGAGTGTACCACACACTCCTAGCCTCCTAGAGGCTTACTGTTTACTAGATATTTGAAGAAAAGTAGAGATGTATTATAGCAATATCAATCTTCAAAGAATTTTGCCTTGCAAATTTGGGAGGGAGGGAAAAACAGGATTTTAACTGTGGGGCTGTTAAAGTAGGAGCCACCAGGCTTTCCAGTGTTCCTTTTCCATATGGTCGTTCCTCTCCAGCTTTTCCCTGTGCTTTATCTCCACCCATGCATGCCCCTGGGTAATAATAATAATAGTTGCTAATGTGTACTAAGCACTTGGTATGTGCCAGATACTGTGCTAAGGACTTTACATATATTATCTCAATGAATGAATTGTAGGTCTGTTCCATTTCACAAATGAAGGAATTGAGGCTACAGATTTTGGAAGATTAGTACGGATCACAGTCCTAGTAAGTGGACGTACCAGGACTTTAGTATATATCTTTCTGACATCGGAAACCCTGGTTTTAATCCTAGCTTTACCACTTGGTAACTGTGTGACTCCAGGCAAGGTAATTTCTCTGAGGCTCAGTTTTCTCACCTCTAAAATGTAAGAATTTTTTTTATTATAATTTTACCTTTGAAGGAAAAGGATTTAAGAGAACATAGGTAGTGAAAGTGCTGGTAATAATAATACTGTCACTTATACTTGTATGGTGATTTACACTTTTCAAAGTAACTTCTCATACACAATCTCATTTGATCCTAACAGCTGTCCTGTGCAGTTGATCTCTCACTGGTGAGAATTCATCAGCAATTCAGTCTGTAACTCTGGTCAGTCTCTGTTAAGTGCTGTCACAAAACATAGAAACTGGAAAGGGAAAAGATGCAGTAGAGTGTTTCTCACAACATGGCCTAAAGCTACCTGCACCCGAATCACCTGGGGTTTCTGGTTAAAACGGAAAGTTCCTGGGCTTCGTCCCAGACCTATGGAATCTGAATCTCTAGGAGATAGTAGCCTAGGATTCACACTTTAATAAGCTTCCTGGATATTTCTGATCAGTGACATTTAAGAACTTCTGTGCAGCCATAGAGGCCCCTGGCCACAGAAGAAACTTGTCTTATGTGGTCATAGGCCACTTGGAAATTTACTCAGAGGGGGCCAGGTATTACCTTTTTTTTCCTGCCCAAGAGCTGCTTCACTTAAGTTTAATTCTACTACAATTAGATGTTATTCTGCCTTAAAATTTTTTTCCCCTGAAAACTATAAAGATAATATTCTTAACTCCGCCTCATTTCCCCCCCTTTGGGCTGTTTCTCTAGGCACTTACTGATGTGGATGAGACCTACCGAAAGCCTGTTGTAGGCAAAGCATATGAGCGGGATTCTTCACTGACTCTCACGAGGGTAGGCAATTTCTCCTGACTTCTTGAGTACCCAGCATGCTTTCAGGCTTAGGAATTAAGATCACTGAGCCCAGTGACCAGTGTTTCATAGTGGGAAAGCCCTGGTGCTGTCAACCAGGTATGCCTAGACCAGTGGTCAGCAAACTGCGGCCCCTTGAGTGTGGCTCTTCCACAAAATACCACACGTGGGCGTGCACATACAGTGCGATTGAAACTTCGTGGCAACACTCAAGGGGCCAAAGAGCCACAGTTTGCCAACCACTGGCCTAGACCAAGGTCTTCCTTAGTCTCTCTTCTCCTGCATTCTTCTAATTTCAAATGAGTTTCTGCTTCAGACCTGCATAATATTTGAGCAACAGGTTACCTTTTATAAGGCTTAAAAGTCTTTCTGTTTTACCAGTAGAAATAAGGTTCCTTTTCTCTTTTATTTTTTAAAATATATTTTATTGATTTTTTACAGAGAAGAAGGGAGAGGGATAGAGAGCTAGAAACATCGATGAGAGAGAAACATCGATCAGCTGCCTCCTGCCCGCCCCCCAGTGGGGATGCGCCCGCAACCAAAGTACATGCCCTTGATCGGAATCGAACCCGGGACCCTTGAGTCCGCAGGCCGACGCTCTATCTACTGAGCCAAACCGGTTCGGCCCTTTTCTCTTGACACACTGATTTATCTGAGTTATAGGTAGAAATAAAAAATTCATTACTAACTTTTTAAAAATTGTGAAGCAAGTTGTCCACAGAGCATAACTGAAGAATCTGTTCTTTTTTCCCCTGTATATTGAAAGAGGGATGTTTAAGGCTAATATTTGTCTTTGCTTTCCTTATAGCTATTTGATCGACTAAAACTTCAAGATTCCTCCAAGAAAGAGGCAGATTCTAAGTCTGCAGTTGAAGACTCCACTCTGTCCAGATACTCCCAGACATCCACTTGGAAGGTAGCCTCAGTGTGGGGAAGAGAAGACACTGACCGGGGCTCACGCAAACATTCCCGCTCCGTCCCGTCTTCCCTGCAGGCATCTACAAGGGAGGAGTCCAGGTCAGAGCTGTCAGGGAGGACTATTCGGACAGAAGGGTCTAGTGTGGGAGGTACCTTTTCCAGAGCTACTACCCTTTCTAGGGGCCAGTCCCGTAAGAAAAAGAGAAAGCCCAAAGTAGATTACCAACAGGTATTCACTAGACACATAAATCAGATTTTCATTCGAGGCGAGAATGTCCTGCTAGTTCATCTTGCACAGTGAGCAACTCTGCTTCACTTGAGCTTTAGTATTTAGAAACAAAATGCATGAGTTGCTGCTATGCTGTATCCTAGTATCCCAGTGAAACTCTGAGTTGGAATGATCCCCTCTGGTACCGCATGTGTTGAGGAGAGAACCAGGCTCAGGCTCTCTGGGAGATGAGCTCCCTGAAGGGGAGAGAGGCCTTGGGAGGGTGGGTTGTTTGCATTAATATCAAAGCAGTAATAACAGGCTGCATATGAGTACACACATCTGATTTGGTATCATGCTCTACATCAGACACTCAGACCAAATATACGATCTTCCATTTGAATCAGGGGTTATAGTATGAATTAAATTGACTCTATGGACTCTTTAGTGTGAAGGAGAAAAACCGCAAAAAGAATGATCTCATTTTAAAGCTAGTACTCTGAATACTCACGAATTTGATTCTAAGAGTAGCAGTATAAATTGCCCTGGAACCCTACACCAACATCTTACAACTGACTGTTGAATTTTGCTCTCCACCATTCTCTATTAATCAAGAAATGTAATCTATTATCGTTGGGTATCTATAAGATCTAAGAAAGCTACCAATTTATGTAAGGGCAAAATTTGAAAAGTTGGTATGCTTAAAGCAGCAGCAATGAATGCCCTGTTTTTATCCCTCTCCTTATTATGGAAAGGAATGTGGGACCTCAGCAGTCTTCCCTTACCAGAGGTGACTTCTGCGAATGACATACCAGATGGAACTATAAGATGCTCGTGTGGTGGCTTTTTGTCTTTCTCTCTAACTTCCGTGGCATAGTGCTAGTGCATGTACCCTGTGTATTGCCTCTCTGTGACCTGTCCTATAAGCTTTATGGCAAGAGACTGTGACCTTCAAGTCTGTCTTCAAAGAATGCTGCATGAACTCTGTAATATACATGCACCATACAGCTGAGAATTCCTTTTCCAGGCAGGGCTGGTCTTATGTAGAATATCTTTCAGAATGGTTTTCATGAGACAGCAGCAGTAGTTTTATTCCCTGTGTCAGACCAAAGAGGTTCTTACAAACTAGAGTAGGTGTGTCTGTAAGGGACACTTTACTCACAGCCAGCTTCAGTAGCAGAAATCCATAGCACTCTCCAATACTACTTGAATCATGCTATATGCTTTCTCAGTCACCAGTGCAGAATAGGCTACAGACTGTTAGGTAACATTGAATTTTTTTGTTTTGTTTTGTTAGTTTATGTTTTATTTTAGATAATTCATATTCAAATTACAAATAAGAAATAGCTAACTAGTTAAAATGCTTGAAAAGAAAAATTTCCCCTGCTGTATTTGTTGTGTAACTTAGATACCTGGTCCTCTGCTAGATGGGTCACTGGCTTATCCTATAATGAAAGGAGAGCCTCAGTGTTGGCCCATCAGACACCTACCTCACAGGAGCACTGAGACAAAGAATTTTAGGAAGGCATTTTAAAGTCTCTAAACATGTTTAGGAACCATGAGTCATTTTTACTAACTCTACTTCATGGTTTGGTTAGAATGCTTATGAGCAAGGCAGGTAATCTCGGTAGGTCTCATAAGTATAACCTTGCTGTGATCAGGAGGCAGCGGTATCTTCAGGAACTATTTCCCATGTTCCATTCCTTTCTCCTAAAGGACAGTGGGAGTTTCAGAAGAATATCTTGAGTAACATTTCTTTGCTGCTCCTCTACATCCTAGCCCCTACCCTTTCTGATCATTTTTAGAAAGGATTCCCCTGAATTTCTCATCGGTTTGTATGATAATACCAAAGGGAGAATGAGCATCTAAAAATAACACATCCCTAAAAGGGAATTTGTAGAAATTGTTTTGTTTGTTTTTATTTTAAAATGCAATTTAAATATGTTTTTTAGAGCCACAGGAGATGTACTAAATATTTAGAGAGGCTCCAGATCACAAACTTGAACCATCATCTTTGGAATCTGTCAATCTAATCTCTTCTAAATAATGTATCTAAAAGTTCAGTTCCCCAATTAATAGTTGTCTTGTTTAATCATCAGGCACCCCTGCCTCTACCTCTTTACCAGCCTCCCTTGTTTGGCTGTCCTATCTGTCTGCCCTCTTGCTCCTTCGCTAGAAGCTGTAATGGATATTAGATTTTTCCAATAAAGTAGAAATTTGTAATCAAAAGGAATATAATCAATTTCTGTTTCAGTCTAGTGCCTGATTAAATCTAACCTAATTTATTTTACATAATGCTGGTTTTCATAATGTTTGTATATAATTTTTATATATTCATGTAAGGATTGATTTACTGCTTTTTTCTACCCAACTTAATAATTCTGGCTCTGAAAATTTTAAAACTGTGATATGACTTAGATGCCCATTTATTTGTTCGGTTTGGAAGTGATCCTGGAATGAATGAACTATCTAGTATTGTGTTATTTTGTGCAAACCATACTTTTTTAGAGAAGTCAGTTTTTAAAAATCATAGCCTTTTTATTTATTATTGGAGAAATTTTTAATAA